GGGATTCTGTGGAGCCCGGGAACACTGGCCTTGAGGACACTCTGTCCCCAGGGACAGAGCCGAGCTGAGCCAGGGACCTGCGCTGGTCCCCAGACTTAGGGATAAAAAAGGGGTCACTGGAGGAGGTGGGGGCTGGGGGTCCTTGCAGAAATAAGGGCCAGCTCTCTAGTGTAACTATAGGACCTAGTGGCATTAGCAAAGGAAGCATAAGCATCTTTTCTCAGCAGGCCCACGCCCTGTCCCCAGGCATTCTAGTCTGTCCTCGTGCAGGCCTGGGCCTCCCTCTGCTCTCCCCAGGGCTGGGGATCTCGCGGGCAGGTGCCCACTGGCCACGGTGCAGGTGGAAAGGCGAGGGCTGAGCGCAGGACGCGCCTCCGGGGTCCCCAGCGGCGAGGGGAGGGAGCCGGCTGTGTCCCCTCGCCTAGCGCAGGGGTGCAGGCGGCCCAGAGGCACAGGTTCTCCCACCTGGACCCAGGGGGCTGCCCGCCCTGCGGCGCCTCCGATGTGTGCTCCTCTGCTGGTTTTGCGCCTCTAGACTGCTTGGGTTGCTCTCCTGGCTCAGAAAGTCCCCCCTGCCCCTCTCTCTCATCCCGCAAGCCTCGGGCACCTGCTACTTCAGGACAGCGCCCTGGTCCTGTGCGTTGCTGGCCCCAGCGCCCCCCCGGGAGCTCCCCCAGCAGCTGTACTCTTCCTCCCTCTCTCATGCCTTCCTCTCTTCCAGCAGCTTACAGGCTTACGCATCTTTATTTCACTCCTAACAGATTGTTTGGCCTCAGCAGTCAATACATACTTATTGAATAGATAAGTTGAGTGGAGGTTTAGAGATGCAAATAAGTTGAAAGCTAACCTTCTGAAACCCTGGTCGTCTTATGAGTAGCTCTCTCCCTCCAGGCATCTGACTTCTCTAGTCGCTGTTTCTGGCCATGCAGGTGCCATCTGCCTGAGGGCTGGGACCAGGCTGAGCAATTATTAAAATATTTTTTAATTATATGATAATAATAGCTAGCATATATTAGTCTGTAATTTTACTGTGTCCCAGGCTCTGTTCTAAGCACATTGCACGTGTTAATCATTTAATTCTCACAACAATTCTATAAAGTAATCATCCCTGTCTTACAGACGAGGAAACTGAGACCTAAACAGGTGAAGTGACATACCAAGGACAGAGCAAGTTGAAGATCCGGTTCCAGAATCCAACTCTCAACTGCTGTGCTCAACAAGAAAGACAGATTCTGACTTTGAAAGGTGGACCTAGGTCACAGGAAGGAGTACATACTCCTTTCTACTTCTTTATGTCATCCCATGATTTAATCAGGCTCGCCTCTTTACCTTACATGACTCTTATACACACACTCGGCCGCTGCCACCACCTCTGCAGCAAGTATTTTTATTTTACCATTTTCTGAATGAACACGGTTCCAGTTGTAGGTGGGCTGGAAGGTGTTGCATGTCTCCAGGAGTTAATGAGTCCTGACGAAATGCAGAGTAGCTGGGACTGTAAAATGAGATGGCACGTTAATTCACGCAGCCTGGGACAGAGCAAAAGCATTGCTTTTTCCCCCACAACAAATCTCTGAAGGGCTGACTGTCTCCTTTAAGCTCTCCAGTTCATAGGAAAAGTAGATCCTTCGGAGGGGAACTTATTTCTTATGCTGGGAAATAGGGTGGTCTTCTCTAACAATTAGTTGGAATTTCTGTTGGAGCCACAGAGTGACCTCTATTGAGACCTGAGCTCCTTACAGAGTGAGGCCTAAGCAAAAAGGAAGAACTGACCAAGAAAGCTTTGAAACTTAATTATATTTAGTTGAAAAATCATAAAATTAAAGAGGAACCTATGAATCTAGGAATCTCAAAAGATCCTAAGGCTTCCCAGGGTGGTTACATGAATACCCAGATTTTGCAGAGCTTAAAAATCAACTGAGCACACATATTTTTAAAGAACTCCATGGAGACTTTGAACAGTTTTATGTAGTTTCACATATGAGTCTTTCCATATCCATTGTCAGGAAAAGAGAGAAGTTATTTATAGTTATTGGAGCAAGGATTTAGACTGAAATATCTATATGGTTTTTATTCCAGGGCCACAGGATTCTGGAATAGACTTTATTGGAGAGAAAGGGAAGATGAGTGTTTTTCTCTAGACGTCTTTAGGACTGGAAGCTGCATTTTATAATTTAGTAGGAGTTCAGCTTGTAGGTTGATTGACTAAAATTTTAATAAGTTGTATGCATTCTGTGAAGATTAGTCTCTGAATTTATTATGACTGTGACCAAAAATGGCCCAAAGCAACAAGCGTCAGCAAAAGAGTGCCCCCCAAAAGGCTTAAAAAACACACACCAAGATTCAGCTTGCCTAAGTGAAAAATACCGAATAGGTATTCGACTGTCAACTTTCAGTAGGAAAAAACCAAGCGAGCAATGGAACGCGGGTGAATTTTCCCTTCCTGTCATAGCTGCTCCCCGCAAGTGCTGCACTACTGGGTGAACTTTGCACTCCCCCTTCATTTTCACTTTCATAAGGGGACATTGTGTTTGTGCATGAAGTGTGTATTTTACTGTGGTCTTACACAATATTAAAATTTCAAAGTAAAACAGACAGGTAAAAGACATTTATTGACACTGAGCGAAACATGTACAAGTGTTTCTGAAGACCGGCTGCAAACATTTCTGGTTTATTTTCTCGCACAGAGACCCATATCACTCTGAGGACAGAACGGCCAGCTTTCCTTTGTGGAAGAGCACACAACTGGCAGTGAGCTTTGCCAAGAGCAGGTCTTGCCCTTGAAGAACTGCAGGGCAGAGATGCTTCCCGTGAGTGGGAGTTGGTGCGCCCAGGCCTGGCAGGAAGGGCCAGATGAGGGAAATGAGGACACTACTGGAGTTTCGCTATTTACATCAAAATTGACCACACTGGAGCTTGCCTCTGGGCTCTCTTGAAAGATGTGGCTTGAAAAACAACCAGCATTAGGACTGAGAAAGTGCATCTGCAAAGCATGTGGCCCAGGTCATGAGAGTCCAAATTGTGTCCATAGGAGAGTGGTCTCCTGCTCAAAACCGTGCCCAAACAGCACACGTTGGTTGCACCGTGACTGTGACAGGTCACCACCAGGAGCAACCCCTCTGATGTTGCAAAGAGAAACTAGCACAGAGAAAGGCCTTTCCCACACCCTCCTCTGCCTTTGGGGCATTGAGGACACTTGAGTCAGCTGCTGTGATTGTGAAAGTTTGCCCATCACAAATATCAGTCTTCCCACTCAAACTGCTTCATCCAGGTCTTAAAGGCATTTCAAAAACCAGATGACTCAGTAGAAAATGCAATATGGAATTTTAGTCCAGAGTCGTAACTTTGAAAATATTTCTTCTTATTCAAGTTAATTTACCCTCCAGAAATCTGAAATTAGCTGTGGTAAGTTAACAATGATAGAAGCAGAGGCGCTTTCAATAATTTAATTATTAGACTCATGGCCCCAAAAGGGGCTTGCATGAAATATTAACTATTACTCTTAAAGCAGTTTGGACACAGTCACACACACATCAGGAAAGGACAAAAAAATTCTCCCCAAAATGCCAGCGTTCTGTTTCGTTTGGAAAAACAGCAACAGCACAATTAGAGGTAAACAATATTTTCTTCGGCTTCATCTCCAGTTTCCCCGTCTTGTCTGGTCACTGTCTGTAGATTTAGCTTTGCTTCTGCTATACACGTCTGCAGCTCCGGGCCGTGTGGGTTTGAGTCATGGGGGGTTGGGAACTCATTCTCAGAGATGTCCAAATCTGTAACAGACAGACAGCACAGGTCACAGGAGAGTCAGCGGGACACCCACAAGGCAGGCAAACTATGACGCAGCCAGCCACAGGGAGAGTGGTGGACTCCGGCGAGGAAGAAACAAATCAGGTATCTAATGATTTAATCAGTATGGTGAAGATAACCTTGGCTGTGTGTACAGTTGTCTCCTGCGGCTAAAAATAACCTTTATAAGATACTCCCAGGGCAGTGTGGGCTGTGAAGACAGTGCTACTGCTGAGAAAGGAGCGCCCATTTACTTTTTTTTTTTTTAATACTCACCAGAGGATATTTTTTCCATTGCTTTTCAGAGAGAGTGGAAGGGAGACAGAGAGAGAGAGAGAGAGAGAGAGAGAGAGACACTGATTGGCTGCCTCTCGCATGTGCCCCAACCCAGGGCTAGCGATGGAGCCTACAACCGAGGTACATACCCTTGGCCAGAATCGAACCCGGGACCCTTCAGTCCACAGGCTGACACTCGAACCACTGAGCCAAACCAGCTAGGGCCCCATTTACTTTTTAAAAGGGGTTCAAGATCTTAGAAATACAGCGCATACTCTAGCTACTTGCAATTAACTATATTTTCACCTGCACAGCACCTTCCCTCAAATATCTCCAAGTCAAGAACTGACCTCAAGACAAATAACATACCCGGGGTTTTGTCGATAGGGGTATGGGTGGGGAGAAAGGAGCTGAAGGAAGGAGGCCCTTTGGCCTCCCCTTTATGCAAATCCGTTAGCACGACACAAATCACTCAGCAAGAACAGCCGGGTTCCTGGGGAAAACGGTTCCAGTATCAACTATGAGTGGGTTTATTTTTCCTGTTACCTAGCAACAAAAGGGCATAGTCTATTCTTTTTTTTCTGGTAAAACTCTTTAATAGATGATTTAAAGGGGAGGCAAAGGGGAGTTTTTATTTGAAGAAAACAGAGGCTCCGGCTGCAAACCATTTCTCTGCACTTGTTCCGCTGACCGTCCTCCCTGAGGCTCAGCTACGTGGCAGGGCAGCAACCCACCAGCCCCAGCCGGAGGGGACAGCAGAGCAGGCGTGGGAACCGGGCAGGGAAGGTGTGCGGCCCGGAGGCCCGCCTGCTCCTTTCGTCAGGAACAAGGACCTGGACAGCCCCTGCCACGCTTATCCAAAGTCTCTATTATTAGACGGATGCACGGAATTGCTGGCATCCCAATGACAAAAATGTTCGTGACTTTTGCCACCTTGACAAGGATCTTTGGCTGTCAGAGAAAGCAGGAAGCAAGGCCTGGCAGGAATGAAGAGAGAAACGTCCTCACAGGGCTCCATCCTCAGAGATCTGGCACCTTTCACCCTCTGCTGCACCTTTTTATCATTTCTTCCCAGAGGAGGCAGGGCCAATGGAGGGGGCAGCCAGGGCCACAGGAAGCAGACAGGTTACCTGGTGGGACTGACCTGTGCCTCTGAAGCTGGAGGACCCCGGGAGAGGGAGGGAAAGCGGCGGTGAGGGGGAAAGGCTGCACTCCACAGCCCTGCTCCAAGGTCTAGGTCAGCCGTGATTCTAGGTGCCGATGGGCACAAAGAAAAAAATCCATTTACATTGGAGTGGCTTGATTTTACTGGCCTCGAATCCAAGTCCTGTACCTCAAATACTGGGAACTCACTAACTACTGAAAACACATCCACTGAAGATGCCTCTGACTACCACCGTGTCTAGCGCCTCCTCTGGGACTCTTCCACGTCTTACCTCCCTCATTTAATCAGGTAAACACAACCCCCCCTCCCCCCCCCAGGCAACGATCTCACTGTCAGAACTATATAACCAACCGAGAATGTTCTATGTCCTATTTCACCACAGTGGGAGACAAAGCATGCTCGTGTGGTCACAACACACTGTCATAATTTCAACCCTTTTTCCCAGCCATTGAATGAATAAGGTCATTTCACCTCTAAAACTAAATACTCCCAGTTAAACTACTGATGTTTAATATAACACAGTCTAAAAAAGAGAGAAGCCTACACAAACCTCAAAACTCCCATCCAGCAGATGCTGGCAGGCTGGAGAACAGTTCACCTGAGACACTGCAGCGCTGCCCCCTGGCACACAGGAGGTCCAGCCAGGGCACAAGAAATACTACTTGGAGAAGGAACAGTCATCCATGGAATGAGGCGGCTGGGAGGCGACTACCGACAATGTGACGGTGCCAGGCACAGTAGAGGCCCTAAAGCCGTATAGTTCCCTTCCTCAGGGTGTGAATACTTGAGCGAAGAATCTACAAGACTGGCGAGTCTAGGTATCTGGAAGCCCCCTTCATGGTTTCAAGAGAAAACTTGTTCAAAAAGAGCTAAAGAGCCAAGTATGTATCAGAAAGAATCCTTTTATCTGACATTAAATTGTAGGCCCTAGTTCAGGAAGATAGAAAACCAAGAATGATTTCGGAGGGGGAGCAGTTCGTGTGCGCGCATGTGCGTAAGGGGGTATAGAAGTTGAATCAGAATTTTTTCAAATAAGAATAAAAATACATTTCTAGGCGAGAGCTTGCTGGACTCTAAAGTGAATGGCCCACGTTGTGATCCCAGATGTATTAGTGGAGGTGGCTGTGGTGTGTGTCACCTGGAGGGGAACTCAATTTCCTTCTCCGTGTTCCTTCTTGGTTTCTACCTGAACTGTTTAGGCAAGGTCAGGCAGCTTGTCTTTGAAATTAAAAACCGTTCTGTGACTTCTGGTTTTATTACTCCACTTCAGCCCTGAAAAAACTCCAGCACAGCAATTGTGTATTTCTCAAGGTCAGCCACCTTTTTCCACACTTTTTACCCTAGAGAGCGTAATCATCATATAGAACCCTAAACTCAAAAAACATTTGTTAAATAAACCTCACTGATTCAGAAAGCAGAATTCTTGGGGAGTAAAGTTAATCATCCCATTTGACTTGTGATCAAAATGCCTGCAAATTGCTGGACATAAAAATAGAATACCTCATTTTTTTAAATAAGCAAAGTGATATTAATACAGTCATAATTTGGTCAACTAAAAACCAAATGCTACTATAATGAAACAAAACTTCAAACTGTAAAGAACCTTTCAATCTAGTGTCTCAACACAACTTTCCCTCTTAGTTGACATAGCAGAAATCCCTTACCATTCCCTGGAAACTAAACAGAGTGAGCATTGTTGACCTTAAAATAAGGACACATATGATGAAACACATGAAAGCCCAAAGGCCTAGTTAAACCAAGAGCAGAGGTAGAATCTTGCTTGGTACCATTTTTTTTCTAGTTAATTTTTATCCTGATCCTAAAACTTTGTCCTGCACGAGACATTTTCTCAGAGCCACCGCAGAGTCTAAGTTAGCTTTCAGATGCCTTCTGCACTGACACCCAGACAGTTCCCTAGATCTCCCTGTTTTTAGCCCTTAGTTTCAACCTGTTGGTTGACATTTGCATTTATCATTTTCACACTTTTCGCTGCTCACCCGCTGTTGGAACGTCAAACTACCAGGGGAGCGAATCCGGGTCTGGGACGGCACACGACCGTGGAAGTCAGCTCCTGAAAAGCTGAGGCCGGCGGGCGGTAAAGTTGGCCTTCCCTTCATCGGCTCGCCATCATCGTTATTCTTTTGAGCCAACTGAAGCATTGGTTGTTTTCAAGACCAGACTATAAACTCAAGGTATAAAATGCACCCATGTGCCATATTAAAAATGAACAAAGTGCCTCCTAAACGAGAAGTGAATGAAATCTTTTAAACCACAGGGTAAAATGTGACCTTTGGCAAGTCATTTCCCTTCCTCTTGGCTTTAGTTCCGATGGATTGAGCTGAAATCAGCATTTGGGCCTCTTAAGCTTCTTACACTATATAAGAATTTTTACATCTATGTTTTGGCTCAGTGACTCACCAAATAACAGTCTAGAGGTGCAACAAATACATGCAGTTTTCAACTGCCCATGCTCAAGAAATGCACATTTGTTACCTTAAGTTATATTTAAAATAATGTTTTTAGGGTAATTTCCAGATGTATGCCCTGGCCCCTATCCCTTCCATCTTCCCAACAGCACATATTTGAGTTGAGCCCCATACAGTCCTCCAGGATGGGATTTGGAAAGAGACCTGATGAATGCGGGACAACGCCCATGGTCCAGACCTGTACTCAATCTTTCCTTCTATAAACGGCCCATTTAAGGGGAACTTGTCATCGAGAACAGGCTTCTGACAAGTCAGAGAGGGCTGCCTATCATTTAAAAATATTTAATTAATGTAGTCTTCACCTTTGTCTGCATTTTCTGAAGAGAAAAGCATTTTAAATTATGATAACTTCTAAAAAAAAGCTTTATTAAACTTTAAAAGCACCGGTATAATTTTCATTATGAAGATCAACTCTCAAGGTCTGAATGCAGCGCCACAGTGTGCCCAGTGGCCAGGCACCCAGCAGCCCAGTGTGACAAAAACTACGCCGAGCCTGGGGTTGAGAGACTGGGCCTTGTTCAGCCAGGTCGCACCCTGCCCCATTCTCCCCAGCGAAACTCACGACAGCGAGGTCCGCGTCTTCTGGGTCTTGGCTCTGTTCTTGTTTATTTTAATGAAGCGTTCTGACTTGCACTTATTACTCTCTCCCCTGTGCATGTTCCTAAAATCAAAATTCACACTCTCCTAAAATAACTCTACCTCCAAAAAATTTTGTCGTTAATGTTCCAAGTCTGCAAAATAAGTCATATTCCCTATTTAATGATTGATTCATGCTTACACTGTGAAACATTTAAAAAATCGTTTCCTGATGGCATTACTGGCAATCATTCTTTTTTCTCAGGAGCACTAATATGCAGCACTTTCCTTCTAATGGAAAACACGTATTGTACAAAGCATGAGGTGTCTTCAGAGCAAAGGAAAATTGGTCTCTGTCCCTTATTTTGCTCAACTCCATTTTCCAGAGTGAGCCACAAACAGGATGTGAGCCTCTGGCACGAAAACCAGCCTGGAATTGATATCTGAAGCCGGCGGACTCACTGAGCGTTCTGATTCCCTT